ATGAGAGATCCAAGGGAACTGACGCTCCCTAAAAAATTATGTTACAGTTACGCAAATATCAAAAACTAACTAACAACAAAGTTATCACAGTAGCAAGATAAGGTAGCTGCCCAAAATCTTATCAGAGTTGAGGCGTCCTTCCCAGAAAACCCAAACTGTGCCATTTGCTGAAGGAATGCCATATAGTGTTGAGCTCCTCAATCTGAGTTCTGGATCTTAAGAGCAGAGCTTCTGTCTGGCCAAGACACAGTGCATTGCAATCTCATCATCTCAGAAAGGCGAACTCATTGGCTTTGCAAGTCAGTTTGAAGTCATCAAATCTTCTGCAGACTTCACCTGAGAGGAAACAATAAATTATCTCATGCATAAATGCATCTTTGTCAGAGAAGAGAAGAGAAGAGAAGAGGAAGAGAAGAGAAGAGAAGAGAAGAGAAGAGAAGAGAAGAGAAGAGAAGACGAGAAGAGAAGAGAAGGAGTAAAGAGAAGAGAAGAGAAAGAGAAGAGAAGAGAAAGGAAAGGGAGGAGGGGGGGAGAGAGAGAGAGAGGGAAGGGGGGAAGGAGAGAGAGAGAGAGGGGGGGGAGGGAGAGAGAGAGGGAGGGTGGGGGAGGGAGAGAGAGAGGGAGGGGGGGGATGAGAGAGAGGGGGGAGGAGGGAGAGAGAGGGAAAGAGAGGGAGGGGAGAGAGAGAGGGAGAGAGAGAGGAGGGAGGGGGGAGGAAGAGAAGATGAGAGGAAGAAGAGAGGAGGACGAGAAAAGAGGAAGACGAGAAAAAGAGGAAGAGAGAAAGAGAAGGGAGAAGGGGGAGAAGGGGGAGAAGGGGGAGAAGGGGGAGAGAGAAAGAGAAAAAATGCAAGGAAAGAGAGGCAAAAAATAGGAGAAGGAGAGAAGAGGAGAAGACAGAGAAGAGGATGGAGAGAAGAAAGAAGAGAAAAGAGAAGAAGGAGAGGACGGAGAAGGCAAGAGAAAAAGGGAAAAAGAAGCAAAGGAAAAGATCGGAACAAGATACAACAAAGAGAGAAAGATGAGAGCAGAGCAAAAAGGCAGAGGAATGAACGGCTGAAAAGGAAAAAGCAGAGAGGGAAAGTAGAGGAGAAAAAGTATCAGTAGGAGAAAGGCAGAGGAGCAGGCAGAGAGTGTTCAAACACAATCAATACCAATAAAACCCCCCTAATATTACTTAAAATTTTTCCATTGGCTGATTACTTTGTTTCCCATTTCTTTTGTACGTTTCAAGTCACCAGTTGGGCCTAGCAATCAGTTCACCCAACCGCCAAGGCCTCGCCAACATCCTCAATCTGCGGCATGTGGCTCCTTGTCCTGATCCACGAGCCAACTCCGCAGCTCACGCACAACAAATAGGCCTGACCAGTCTCACTCTAAGATTCTTTTGGCGTTCCGAGCCATGGCCATCAATTATCATATTGTGCCTGGAATGAAAATCAGAGTAAGTGAAATGGCAAAGAATAAATCTAAAAAGGAGACATTCGCACACACATTCCATTTTACATCACTCAAAACATAGAAAAATCCTCACCTTGATGGTTTGGCGAGCAGCAATAGAATGCTGTCAGCCAGGTTTTGCTGGGAGGCTGTTAGGCCTGAGTCCAATCTTCTTGCCATATGCAGCTGGCACAAAGCATTGGGCGGTAATAACTTCCACCTTTCCACCAATCCTTGTGGTTGCATTGCGAAGAGTGAGCACATCATTCTTCTTCATGGAAACTTCCCTTGGAGATTTCTCAGGTAGTCATAGAGAGCCACAAACCACAACTCCTTTCCATGTGATGTCCAGAAAACTGGGGACCATCTGTCTGGCGAACAAGCATGAGCCGTTCATCAAGGGCCGGCGGGTGTGATTGTTGAGCTGAAGGCCTCCAGATCACTCATGAGAGCCTAATGCTCTCAGCAGAGCCTCAGCTGAGTACTCATCTTTGCAAAAGTCCCCACCTTGCAGCAATGGGTTCATTCTCCTTCATCAAGATTTTCAGCCATAGGCATCAGCAAAAGTACTGGTTGTGCCGAGGAATCTCGAGATCCTGACGACGTTGTTGGGCACGCTCCTTTACTGTGCCAGTGCTGGCTTAGAGTATTCACCCTCTGCTTGATCTCTTCCACCTGCAAAATGTCCATCTCCAATCATCTCTGCCCGAAGGTTAATAGTAACAGCAGTGATGCGGGTTCATGCGTTGTTAATTTCTGCCAATACAGCTTGGGGCTTTTGATAAGATTTTTGGGACTCCAATCAGATTACAGACCTCGGTTGTGAAGCTGGCAATGGGTTCTTTCCTATCCAGGCCCTCTTCATCATCAATGTCCTGAAGAGCTGCTGTACAAGGAGAGGTCCTTGAGTCGTCCTTGCGGAGACCAGTGGTTTCTGAAGGCATTGTAGCGCTCTTTGCAGAGCTAGCTGCTTAGCCTGATGTTCTCAGCACAAAATGTCAGGCGGTCAACAAAAACTGTCTGCAGCAATGCGCACACCCCATCAATCCTGTATTGGGTGGGAGCTGGGACATCTGCTTCCAGAAGAAGGCAGGTTATCAGAAGATTTTGCCACTCCAGTCAGGTCTTTCCATAATCTTCACTCATAAGCTGGCCCTCAATCTCTGAAAGCAGAGTCAATATCCTCCAATCCTCGGTTGAACGCGCTGTTGAGAAGCCCTCCTCACAGCTTTGAGCATTGCGCCGTGTGGTAGCTTCCTCAAGGGAAGTCAGAGCTGAACTATTTCCTCCATACGACTAACCAATCCTTTCACTGCAGAGGTGCTCTGCTTTCCAGGAGTTCTTGCCAGTGATAGATTTCCTCAATACGAGGACTTGTGGCCACTCAGTTCCAGGGTCAAAGTTCAAGTTTTGGTGTTCTGCACTTTTCCATTCAAGTTGGTTGGATCCAAATAGCTGTCCATCTGTGGCAAATTAAGTTCTCATGATCCATCCCTTGGTCTCATCACAGTCTCTCTCAAACTGCTGCAGCGGTAAGAATCCTCTAGCATGGCGGCGGCGTGCAGACATCTCCAGCAAAAGTCATGTGCGCCGATTCAAGCAGCAGTTCACGCTCTGGGCAACAGCATCAGCTGCATAGGTGGCCCTCAATGAGCTGGTTGCAATTCCATCCAGAGCATTAATATTCTCCTACTGAGCCGACAAGAGACTTCTCAAAGTTTCCTCAGCTTTCGACAGAGCTTCAACAGAATCAATGGGACGGAATCTCCCAAAGTCACTCATTACCCAGGGGGAAAGCTTTGCTTGGCCATAAGGGTCAGCCTGTTCAGTGTCCTGTAGAAGAGTTGCAGGCCAGCACGCTCATACAGGATCGTCGCTCCTCCCACAAGGCAAGGAGAGCAGCCTTTTCTTGTGTCAAGGTGCCCAGCTCTCTTCACCTCAGGTGCAGCATGATGGTCCTGTTTACCAGGCATCCTCACCGGCAGCAATGAGTGCTCTCGTGAAGCTGTCTTCACGGGCTATTCAATTTCACCCTTGTGCTCGTGGTGGCGTTCAAGAAGAGCTTCAGCTCCCAGCAACATCCTTGGCCAGCTCATTCTGCAGCAGATGACTTGCCCGCCATGTCATTGATCCACGAGATGAGATCACGGAAGTCGAAAGGAAAACCTATGCAGATAGTAGGAATCATCAGGCGCCTGCGTGTCCTGGCCTGTCAGTCAAAGTAGACCAAGAATGCTCAATCTCTGCTAGTTGTAGCTTGACTGCTCAGCGTGGTCAGGAGGATGCCAACAGAGACGAGTGGCGCTTCCCCTAAGGTCGGACCACCTTGCCTCCGAGCAGCAAGTGTCACGTTCTAACCTTCGTGCTTGCGCTGGCGGTCTGGACAGAGGCTAGGTCCGGCCATAGTCATCAGAGGACAAAAACTACATCCTTTCAGTACCAAGCAATGGTGTCATCGCATCCCTGGAAGTCACATACTTATGAGTAAAGCAAAGTAAACAAATAAAATAAAGCAATAAAAATATTTTAAAATAAGCTTTAGACTAAGTATAAAACAATAACAATAATAATAACTGAATTAACGTCTCGATTCATGATATGTAAAAGTAATAATACTGATGAAAATGATAATGATAATAATATTAATAATAACAATAGTAATAATAGTAATAATAATAATAATAATAGTAATAGTAGTAGTAGTAGTAATAATAATAATAATAATAATAATAATAATAATAATAATAATAATAATAATAAAAATAAATAATAATAATAATATAATAATGATAAGGATAATAATAAGACTAATAACGATAATAATGATAATACCAATAATACCAATAACACCAATAGTAATAGCAATTACCATAATAATAATCATAATTACAGTAATAATAATAATACCAACAATGATCACTATCATCATTATCATCACAATAGAAGTATAAATATATATATATAATCCATAAATAAAACCATGAAATAAAATAAAAGAAATTAATATAATAATTAATAATTATAATTAAAACCAAAAGAACTCGTTTGCAGGGCTA